TAAAGCATTGCTGGTAACTTCAGAAATGAGCATTGGTTTTTTAAATAAGGTAAAATATTTTATAGCTCTCATTATTATTTTTACTTGAAAATATTTGTTTCTGCAAGGCTTAAAGCAGAACAAAATGTTTAGTTATTAGGCAGGAATTCATTTAATCCCTAAGGATAGAAACAATTGTATCTATGTAGACCTGGCTTTATAATAAACCTAATATTTCTAAATTTGCACATAAGTTATATGAGTTGTCCTTAGGCATATCCCCAGATACCTATAGTATTTGAAAATAATTCTGTTATTTGTTTGCCTATTTTTATTACTTATGTGCAGCATTTTTCCCTTCACATTTGTCTCTAAGTGGTCTCTAACTTAAAAACAGTCCTTACAATATGACATTTGGAAGTCACAGTATATTTTCTAAGTAAACACACATTTTTTTTATCCTTCAACCCACATTGCCAGTCTTTCTTATTTGTGTCTGAGTAGACTTGTTTCTAAAGGTTGGAATCTGTTTTCAAGAAATCTAATAGATTACTTAAAATATGGATGATGCTATTTGCTACATAAGAATATATTAAATGTGGTGAAACAAGATTACTTAGTACGTGCAGAAAATAATGTGATTGTTTTTAGAGTTTTATTTAGTTTATTCATTCCCAACTTCTCCAGAATGAAAACAAAATTCCTGTGTTTGAAATGGAGATTGGAATAATCATGAGGGAATTAAAGTGACTTCAAATACTATAAGATAGCCTGCTGAAGTGGCAAACCCAGTAAATAAATAGATTTAGAAGCAAATAGACACACATAGGTTGGAATTTTATTCATATAATATCTGGCACATATCTTACTTTCTCATATGAGAAATAGAGAATGACTTATTCTCTTCCTTGGATATAATCAACTATCTGAACCTGGTTATAGAATCGTTCTCAATTCTCATGATATCAACTATACCAGGATTTGCATTGTTTAGCCATCGTTTACAATCATTCGATATTTCTAATCTGACATTTATGTTAATTTTTTTATAGTTCTCTTCAGCTTTGCAGTTCACTAGCAGAAGTTGTAGTGTGCATAAAATTTTTAAACTACAGATGCATGGACTGGCAGGTCAGCTTTCAACAAAAGGTGGGTGGACCTACTGCTTCTCAATCAAACTAAGAAGTAAAGTTTCTAGTGTGGGATGGAAATTGACAGTTATTTTTCCCCTTGCTTCAATGTTTCTCTATTTGTCTATTTGTTTGTATTAATATCAGTTTACTTATATTAATATATGTATCAAACCAGCATCTTCATTGTGTTTAATTCAATGACATGAACCTGAGGAAACTAATAATACAATAATAATATTTTATGAGAAACACAAACTATTTGTTTTGCTTCTCCTTTCTGCAAGAATTTCAACTCCCTCAAATTCTTTCTGATAGTTTTTTACTTTTTTAGGACATTTCTCTACCACTGAGCCACCTTCCCAGCCCTTTAGGACATTTCTCTTAGCAGTTCACCAGATATTTGCCATGGTTATCAATGGCTGTGTCTGTGGGTTGTTTTTTTTTTTTTTTTTTTTTTTTTTTCACATTTTGCTGTTTACATATGGTATATGCCAAAGCAAACAAGACATGAACCAAAGGCAGGGCCATCCACCCAAAATCTGTTTCATCCTCTAAAATGTATGCTAGATTGATATCTGTGCTGCACCTGAAGGGCAAATTTTGTTCTTTGGCTGTAAATGAAGATGCAAGTAGTGTTTTCAATATCTTATGAGAATTTAAAGCTACTGTCCCTGGAACTTTCTTTCCTTGCATTTTCTCTCCCTGAAGTGTAGATGTAAGTGAATAGATGTAGGGTTCAGTTTAATATAATGACAGCCAACAGCTTTATCTAAAAATAGGCTTCATCTGATATCAATGCAGTATCTTTAAAATTAGAGTGTATTTTTTATGCTTTAAATGAAGATGCTCCCTTCTACCTAGGAATTTCTTTGTCCCTGAGGAAACAACATAAAGGAAGACAAGTATAGTATCTTTCTTCACTCATCATAAAGGTCCCAGCCACTTCCACTGCTGAACAAGAAAACACACACACACACACACACACACACACACACACACACACACCCTATGTTAATAAGGGAAGGGCATTACAGATTTATTTAATCACAGGTTCACATGACATAGAAAGCTTCCATTTCTATGATTAAGTTCAATGAAGAACCAACAGCCACATGTGATTGGACAAAGATATATAAGCCAATAAGAAGAGACTGTCCAGATTTTTCTTCACATCTGAGGGTGAATCTCTTTTTAAATGAGTCTTAGGATATGTTATCAGCAAGGTGATTTATAAGGCTTCTAACCATGATGTGAGTTGTACATTATTGGTGTCATTTACTGATGAGAAAATTGTGCTTCAATACCACTTACAACCTTGTTCTACTTTATTGAGCACATGAGAGAGGGCTGATTTCAATGAGGCTTTTTGATTTGTTCTTATTTGTCAATGTCTTCCTGACTAATTTGTGACCTATTTCACTGGGAGTCTTTGTGTCAGCCCAGTAATTGACACAGTATTTTTCAGGAACTGGATACATGATAAAATCTAATTAATGCCTAATAAAGTCTGAAATAGAAGTTGTAAATAGCTTTTAACATATTTTATTATCTTTAAGTAGTTGCACAAACTGAATACCATTCAACACAACAGTTTATGAATACACTGCATCTTGATCAATGTCACCCACCCTTCCAAACCTATCCCTTCCCTCACTTTTCTTTTTTTTGTTTTTTTATTCATTATATTTTATTTATATCTTTTATTGTAGAGGTGATATACAAAAGAGTTGCGGCTATGTAGTCGGGTAATAATTACATAGGTTTTTTGTTGTTGTTTTTCCATTTTTTTATTGTGAAAATATCGTACAGAGGGGTTACAATTATATGGACAAGGTAATGAGTACATTTCTTATCAAGCAGCATTGTTGCCTCCTCCTTTGTTTCCCTTACCATCCCTTCCCATCTACTGCATACATAACACAATAATTGTCTGGTTTTGCCTTCCAAAGCACCATTACCAAAGTTTCACATTTTCCTTAAAACAATAACAGTGATGTTAACTGCAAGCTTGAAATCAAGGTTTCAGCACAGTCATGCTCATTCTGCAAGTTATAGATATGTTTGTCTTTGTTTAGCATTTAATGGTTGCTAGAGATCTTTCAGGTCCTTTGGTTTAATGGATAGATCTTACAATCCTATCATTATATCACGTACCCTCAGACATATCAGATTTCCCTTATATGAGGACATAAGTCACAAAATTGAATTTGGGCTCATTCAAATGACCCTATTTTAATTTGATCAGATTTGAAAATTCTTTTTTGAGATTTTACTTCCAAACAACATATTATCTGCAATATTGGACATAAAAATATCTCTTTTGAAAGGTACACAATTCACTTCATTTGTTTTATTCAAATTATGTATCCTAAGATAATGTTAGCAAGGTAGTAAATCTACATCCGTAGATTTATAATTAAAAAAATTAAATGGTGATGATCCTCAGTACCACAAAAACTAAATGATAATGAATAGATTCATAATTCACAATATCTCAGGAGATATTTGTTAAATTAACAAAAAAATTCATTTGAAAACTATGACTTGCCTTTGAGAACATAAGTGTGAATATAGAAAATAATATTATGAATAAGATCAATGTTGTCGAGCTTTATACACAGTCTTGTATAAACAGTCTTGTATAGCTTATTCAATTATCTTTATAAACTTGCTTTTCATATATATTTATTTCACACATGCAGTACTTTTTAGTACCTATGGTTTCACTTTTTTTTCTTACATAGTGTGAGATTTCCCCAGTAGCATCTATTAACTTACCTAATTAACCTAATTCGTTGGGTGTTGATATTATTTATTCTACACACAAAGTTTACAAGTTGACAAGTTTTTTTTCTGAGTTTTCTATTATATTAACTTGTAATATTTGTTAATTCTGAGTCTCTTGTCACACGGTTTTTATAAATTAATTTTATTATGATGTTTTGATAGGGCTTTCACATTGCAAACTACAAAGTAGTACTGGAAGAAGCTAAATATAGAAATGGACAAATCTCATAGATCAGAAGACTGAATATTGCTCTTATGCAATACTGTTTTCTCTCCTGACCCATTCATTTGTCTTTAATTTCTTTTGATTTTATAGTTTTACATGTGAAAGTCTTGCATTTTCAAAGATGTATTCTGAAATATTGTTGCAGTACAGTTAGGCATGAGGATTGTGAGTTTGAAGCCATCCTGGGCAAAATAACTTATTTTCTCTCTCAATAAAATTAAAAAAAAAAGGTGGAGGCTGGAGATGTGATTTAAATACTATAGTCAATAGTTGCCTAGTATTCACAGGTCCTGGTTTCAAGGTATAGTAGCACAAAGAATATAGACTAAATTTCTTAATTTTTTAATATTTATTAATTTCCAATTTCCTCTTACTGATTTCCAATCTTATTCCATTACTGTCAGAAGAAATAGTTGGTGTGAATCTAACCTTTTTAAATTTGTTTTATGGCCTAACATATGGTTTAACTTTTAGAAAGTTCTACAGTTGTTGTTTTTTGGTTTTTTTTTTTGGGGGGGGGGGGGGTCTGGTCATGGGCCTGAGCTCTGGGCCTGGGTGCTGTCCCTCACTCAGCTCTTCAGCTCAAGGCTAGCACTCTACCACTTGAGCCACAGCACCACTTCCGGCTTTTTTTCTTTTTGCTTATGTGGAGCTGAGGAATCGAACCAGGGACTCATGTATGCAAGGCAAGCGCTCTACCACTGAGCCACCTTCCCAGCCCCAAGTTCTACAGTTTTTGAGGAGGACTGTATTCTGTTATTCATGTACAGACTGTCTATGGACATTTGTCATGTCTAGTTGATTTCTATTGCAATTCATATCTACTTTCTCACTGTTCAGTTGTCTACTATATCACTTTTTTATCTTTTTTTTCATGTCAGATGGATAATATACCCAGGTCGTAACAAGGTTTGAGGGAGGTATATATCATAAGAACATGTGAGGACCCAATCATCATGCTTATGAATCAGAAAAGGATCTACTATATTACTTTTAAAAATAACTTTTTTCCTGTCTTCAATTCTTCCAATTTGTGTCTTATATTTAAATGCATATATGTTTGTGATTATTTTGTTATATCTTTCTGTTATACTGACTTCCCCCTCTTTGTTGTGCTAAAGAATGATCCCAAAGCTTATTTGCTTGCTAGGCAAGTATTCTGCCCCAGAGCTATAAACCCTGTCCTATACTGACTTGTGGGGTGTGTGTGTGTCTCTGTGTGTGTGTGTGTGTGTGTGTGTGTGTGTGTGTGTGTGTGTGTGTGGTGGGGGGTTGAATTCAGGATTTTGCATATGATAGGCAAGTACTTGAGGTTGAACTACATCCCCAGCCTATACTGACACTTCTGTCATTACATTTTCTTTGTCTGTCTGATAACATTGTGAAGATAAGGACTTCCAGGAGTTCTAAATTCAATTTAGCTCCTCCTGTCACTGAAAGTTGCAGGTTTTTCCTAAGCTGCAGATATATGTGAAAATGGGAATGAGAAGAGGGAAATATAAAGGAGATAAACTCCGCTATTCTTAGTATTTTGCCTTCTCTTATTATAAGCCTTTTATTGCTCTCTAACGACCTGACAAAGTTACTTTGAGCATTTTTGCCAGTGTTTTCATTCCTTTTATGGAGGATTAGATTTTCACTGGACATCGTATTTGGAGTAATGGCCAAATGACATAAGCTCTTAACAAATTATCAAGAGAACAAAGATAAAAATTAGATTTAGTAGCCTTTCAACAGGGAAGACAAAGTATAAAATAGACAGCAAATGTTGCATACCGTCTTAGAACCGTATTTCTAATTCCCTCTTTTCTACATTTTATCTTATAACCTTCTTCTTTAGGAAGCTGTCACCTTTCATTTTTTAGGTCATACTTAACCAAATCCTGCCACGACAGTTAAGCATGCTGTAGCCAGTCGAGCAGCAATCACGTTAATGTTGCCTAGGAAGCTGATGCAATTAAGTCTCACTACATAAAACAATCTAATAATTCGCAAAAAAATCGTAAGAGAAACCATCCATTGAAAATTTGTTTGAATGACTCATTATTCTACAAAGAGTGATTTGGCAGTTTAACTCAGCATTACCCGGTGAATTGGTGAATTGACTGCTGTGTACTTTCATATTCCCTACTGCGAGCCTTCTCCTCAATTTCCACTTTATTGTCACCTACACCTATTTCACCTCGACCTGGCTTTCTTTTTCTGAGTCAGCAAATTTTGCCTTTAATACATCATCTTTTCTTTGTTTTCTCATGAACAAAGGCTAATGTACATATTAATTTTTTTAGTTCTGAAAATTTATGTGATATAAAGAAAAACTTTTGGGAAGTAGTGTGGGAATTTTTAAAGGGAGAAATCATTCCAGTTCCAACCCATAGAAAAACCAGAATACTCAACATTGACCCTTTGGGGTGATATACTGAAGTTCTGCCAGTAAATGCTCGCTCCCTGCTGGGCTTTCCCCTCTGGGTCAGCAAGATGTGTGCATTCTGGGATTCTTTTGTTATCAAGATGGTGAATTGTAATGAAAAGACTAATACTGTGTTTCCTGCCTTCTTTGTAACCCTTTTCAAAGGATGCTCCTGCAGCTAAGGAGTCCGACTTGCTCCGAAGGCCTACACACCAAAACCCCTGACCACAATAGTGCAAAAAAAGTCTTAAGAATAGTGCAATCTTCCTGGATTAAGAAAGATAATTTGTGAAAACTGCACACTGAAACATTTTTATCTCAGAGCTGAGATGATCCTAAAGTAAATTGCATGTAAACTAATAGCTGAAAATAACAGAAAGAAAAGGTTCTCCTGGAATTTAGAACTGAAAATTCAGCGCCAAGTTATACATTAACTTATAGGTAGACATGATTTTTTAAACTGCTCCAAGAGCATAAATTATTTTAATATGCTTAGTCTCAATAAAAAATAATATGAGATGATAGAAATAAAATAACTATTTGTGAGTCAGGTTTTGCCCCAGAAGTTATGTGCATATGCCTATAACTCTTCAGTGAGCCCTCCAGTGATTGATTGCATAAATTTGCCAGTGGTACACACCTGTAATCCTAGCTACTCAGGAAGCTGAGCTGAGGATCACAGTTCAATGCCAGCCCAAGTAGGGAAGTCCATGAGTTTCTTACCTTTAGTTAACCATCATATAGCTGGAAATGGAGCAAACCTCAATTGGTACCAGCCTTAGGCAATAAAAGCTAAGCAACAGTACCTAAACCATTGAGTTCAAGCTAAAGTACCAGCACATGCTCGCTCTCTCTCTCTCCCTCTCTCTCTCTCTCTCACTCTCTCTCTCTATATATACATATATAATTTATACTTAACATTATATATGTATATACATATACATATATATGTATATACATATATAATGTTAAGTATAAATTAACATATTCAGTTGATGTCTATTCAACTATAGAAATGCAATTTAATTTGTCTCAATCATTTTCTCAATTTACCATCTACATTTCTCTGGTATTGGGGGGGGGGGTCTGGTCGTGGGGCCTGAACTCTGGGCCTGGGCACTGTCCCTCAGCTCCTCAGCTCAAGGCTAGCACTCTATCACTTGAGCCACAGCACCACTTCAGGCTTTTTTTTTTTCTGCTATGTGGTGCTGAGGAATCGAACCCAGGGCCTCAAGCATGCAAGGCAAGCGCTCAACCAGAGCCACCTTCCCAGCCCTATCTGGTATTTTTATACATGTTAATACATTGCCTCTGTGTGTGTGTGTGTGTGTGTGTGTGTGTGTGTGTGTGTGTGTGTGTGTGTGTGTGTGTGTGTGTGTGTGTGTGAATCCCTGAGATAGTTTTACTCATGGCTAAGGCTCTACCATTTGAGCCACAGCTGTACCTCTAGCTTTTAGCTGATCAATTGGAGGTAAGGCTTTTCTAGATTTTTCTGGCCATGCTGACTTCTCAGATCTCATCCTCCTAAACAGCTTGGATTATAGGCATAAGCCATTGACACCTGGACATTTTCTTTTCTTTTCTTTTTTTTTTTTTTTTTTTTTTTGGTCGGTCGTGGGGCTTGAACTCTGGGCCTGGGCGCTGTCCCTCAGCTCTTCAGCTCAAGGCAAATGCTCTACCACTTGAGCTACAGCGCCATTTCCAGTTTTCTGGTGGTTTATCAGAGATAGGAGTCTCACGGTCTCTCTGCCCGGGCTGGCTTTGAACTGCAATCCTCAGATCTCAGCCTCCTGAGTAGCTAGGATTACAGGCATGAGCCACCAGCGCCCGGCTGACATTTTCTTTTCTTATACTTTTATCCGGTGTTCTTTCCATTTCTAGCACAATTAATTTTCTGTTCATAAAGTCTCCCACTATGTTCTCTCATACAAGTTAATTTTTCCATAAATCCCACAATCTGTTGCTTTGTTCTTTGAAAATCTGCTTGGAAATATCACAGTGAAAGCTGATCATCTCTATCTGTAAAAACTGAAAAAGAACCAATGAAGAAATTTTACTTTGCTAGGAACTGAGCACGAGACTTCCATTTCTGGGCTGAAATGCAGCATGTGACTGACAATGTCATTCAGCAAAAGCACAGATCTTCAGAAAACACAATGTACTTCCAAATTATGGACTAACCATGGAAGCCTTTGACATAGCAGAATTAGCAGCAGCTTCCCTTGGAACTTGTTATGGCTCCAATGAGGCAGTCTACATGATTGCTCCATAGCAAACTCCTGTCTGCATATTTTAATGGGAAAAAAATCATACTGATGCTAGGATGTGAATAAGATAGGCATTTGTGATCTTCTGGAGAATGTCTCCATTCATGTCATGATCTGCCTCCAGAACCTGAGGAAATCCTGGTTAGACGAAGCAGAGTACTGGACCTTCTCACAAGGACTTAAAAAATAATGAAAAGAGTTATTACTCCATGAAAAAGCCATAAATTTAAAAGAAAATAACAAATACAGGCACAAACAGCATCCTGAACACTCTGAAAATAACAAATCTCTGTTTGTAACACCAAACTGGAGTCACTTGCTATTTAGCCTTGAATTGGATGATTACAGGCTAGAGAGCATCTAGAAAACAGCCTTTCCTGCAAACGAAGAAACAAAAAAGAAAAAAATCAGATTTTTTTTAACCCTAGTTTACCCTCATTAGGGATAGGGTAAAATCATAAGGCCTCACTCTAAATCTTCTTTTTTTTATATTCTACCTAATTCGCTTTTTAAAAGCAGGAGAAATGAGTTAATTTTTTTTCTAGTCTGAATTCTTGTCCTTGGGAAGGACAAATTTCAGGCCTATTAGGTGAACTCTAATACAATCCTCAGTATGCTGACCAAGAGATTGACTATGGCTAATCTCTCTCCTCTATTTTATTTCTTCTTTTTCTCTCTGCCTGCCTGCCTTCCTTTCTTCCTTCCTTCCTTCTTTCCTTCTTTCCTTTTTTACTTCTTTCTTTCTTTCTTTTTTTCTTTCTTTCTTTCTTCCTTCTTTCTTTCTTCCTTTCTTCCCTTTCTTTTGTATGTACTTGAGGGTTATTATTTGTTTGAGACCCAGTCTCTCTGTGTAACCAGGCTGCCCTCAAACTCAATCTCATGAGTGCTGGAATTACAGCATGTACAATCATTCTCAGCTCTATCTCCATTTTGAATAGTTTATTATCCATTACATCAAAACATAATTTAAATTATTGCTATCTTTATAGCTGGCTTTTAAAATGATCTTTTCTTTGATCAGCCTGCCTCTTGTAACACCTGTTGTCCCTAAAACCTTGGGGATATTGTATGTACTCTCTTCCCAGTGTGGAATGTCCTTCCTCCACATACCTCACTGGTCATTCCCTTATTGCTGTGAAATCTCTTACTAATGTCTCCTAATCCATCAGAACTTTAAAAAATTGTTTTCGGTAAAATAATTTACCTTAAAGTTCACTAACCTTATCTCCTTTCACTGTTCTATTTTTTTCTCCAGAGTACTCAACATTAAGCGTGTGACATGCTATTTTCACATTTATTTGT